AAAGCAGCCCCCGCCCCCGCCCCCGCCCCACCCCCTATTCCTGCCCCTCCTCCCCCTCACAATGAGGCCCGCATTCTCACTGTCACTCCCAGCAACCAGCTCCAGGGGCTGCCTCTGACTCCCCCTGTGGTGGTGACTCACGGAGTGCAGATCGTGCACTCCAGTGGGGAGCTATTTCAAGAGTACAGGTATGGTGACATCCGTACCTACCATGCCCCAGCGCAGCTCACACCCACTCAGTTTCCTGCTGCCTCAATTGGCCTGCCTTCGCGGACCAAGACTTCCACCCAGGTGAGGAAGCCAGGGGTCTCCCCCACCTCTTTGGGGCATGTGCTTGGGGACTGCACAGCTTTGAAGCAGAAATGGGTTAGGTTAGCCTTTGAACTAAGACAGTGGTTAAGGGACAGGTGAGCCTGTCAGGGTTTCCTGAATGTTACTAATATCCTTAGGGATTTAAAGAGACTTGGGGGTGAAAGGGTCAGATCACACTATGGAGGGCCCCAAATAGGGGGAGGAGCTCTTTATGCCATGCTCAGTGCAGTGGCTTCTGCCTGCTGGGGTGGGGAGGAAGGTAATGGAATTTCTTACCCGTGTCCTGGCTTGCACAAGATAAACTGCAGCTGACACTTTCCTGTGTGGCCTGTTGGGCCCTTTGTTGGGGACAGGGCCTGAGCTTTGCAGACTCTAACTCTCTCTTTGCCTTCTTTTCCAACCCTAGGGGCCTCCCGAGGGTGAGCCCATGCAGCCTGCACAGTCTGCACAGCCTGCTGCACCTGTGCCACCCTGCAATCCCTCCCAACTCAGCCAGCCTGGTCAGCCGCCTAGTAGCAAGATGCCTCAGGTTTCCCAAGAGGCAAAGGGGACTCAGACAGGAGGAATCGAGCAGCCCCGCCTCCCAACTGTACCTGCAAACAGACCACCTGAACCACACACCCCCCAGGTTCAGAGGGCACAAGTGGAAGGCAGTCAGACTTCCTACCCCTCCCCTGTGTCTGTCTCCATGAAGCCGGACCTCCCAGCGCCTTTGCCCACTCAGACTGCCCCAAAGCAGCCGTTGTTTGTTCCTACAACTTCAGGCCCCAGCACCCCACCAGGGCTAACTCTGCCACACACTGAAGTCCAGCCAGCCCCCAAGCCTGATTGTTCTCCACACTTAACTTCCCAGCGATCTGTGGATATGGTCCAGCTTCTGAAGGTGAGCACGGGCGAGGGCTGGACCCCCATTTCCCAAGCTGTGTGCTGTGTTCAGTGTCCTAAGATTGCCCAGTTGACCTTGCCCAGCTCCCAGTTCCTCAGCCACGAGCTTACATCTGCTTTGTTTCCCTGTGAGCAGAAGTATCCCATCGTGTGGCAGGGCCTGCTGGCTCTCAAGAATGACACAGCTGCTGTGCAGCTCCACTTCGTCTCTGGCAATAATGTCCTGGCCCACCGGTCCCTGCCCCTCTCAGAAGGCGGCCCCCCACTGAGGATCGCCCAGAGGATGCGGCTAGAGGCCTCACAGCTGGAAGGGGTGGCCCGAAGGATGACAGTAAGAACTTCTGGGCCCCTGATGAGCCCTTAACACCCTCCGGAAAGGCAGTGTCCCCTGCTGTCTCCTGGTGAGGGACAGTCCTTAAAGACAGCAAAAGGCACATTGAGTGCAACAGTCATCTCAGAAATCCGGGTTTTAATGGACTTATCACTCTGGTTTGGGTGTGGGCTGCTGTTTGGTTAGGAGGTCACTAACCACTGGCATCTCTGCCCCAGGTGGAGACAGATTACTGTCTGCTGCTGGCTCTGCCTTGTGGTCGTGACCAAGAAGACGTCGTGAGCCAGACTGAGTCCCTTAAGGCTGCCTTCATCACTTACCTGCAGACCAAGCAGGCAGCAGGGATTATCAACGTTCCCAACCCTGGCTCCAATCAGGTTGGTCTAGCATGCATGGTGTCATGTCCTGCCCCCCCACCCCACCCCCTGTGGTGTGTATACAGGAGGGGCTGGTCTATGGCAAGTGGGAGTCGGGTGGCACAGATCACTAGCAGGAACTAGGGGCCTCCAGCAGCTCGTGGAGGAGGTGGATAAAGGGCATTCTGGATAGAGGCAACCAGCATTGTGTGAGAAGGGATCTGGGGAGCAGCCAAGGACCTCTCAAGCCTGGTGGCATGGGAGTTCAGGACATGCATGCATGGTGGGGACACTGCCCTAGACTGGATGTCTGCCTCTGGCCTATTGGAAGCATGCTGGGAGAGGGGCGCTGAAGACAGAGGGTCCCACTTTCTCTCTTGCCCCTTCTCCAGCCTGCCTATGTGCTGCAGATCTTCCCGCCTTGTGAGTTCTCTGAGAGTCACCTGTCCCGCCTGGCCCCTGACCTCCTTGCCAGTGTCTCCAACATCTCTCCCCATCTCATGATTGTCATTGCCTCTGTGTGAGCCACTGGACTATCACCACCTCAGGGCATTTTCCCTGAGGTTCTGCCGGAAAAAAAAAATGAACACCAGACTATCGAGTCAGGCAGAGGAACAGCTACAGAGGGGACAGACCCCACTGCCAGACGCTGGCCTCCGTGCCTGCCCAGCTGCCAGGGACCGACCTCCCTGGGCGGCGGTGCTGCTGCCTTGTATGTTTACACGACACTGTTGCCAGGACATGCCACGACTGCAGGGCTCACAGACACCTTGGGGCTGGTTTCTCTTTTTTGAGAAAAGAAATAGGGCCGTGGAATTCGTTTTTGTTTTTAAGAAACAAGAAAACAGGACTGCCTTTGCACTAAATTAGTGACTTGGACTTTTGCACAGTGAAGACAGACTGTGACACTCTTGACAGATGTCTTGGTGTGTGAACACGTCAGATGCTAATGCAGGACTCGACTCGGAACTTCTGCTGAAACCTTGGGGTCAAGGAACATTTCATTGGGTTTTTTTGCCCCACCTCCTCTTCCCTTGCTCATTGGATGTGTCAGCTTGAACTCCTGCTGCCACCACCTTTGACTTACCAGGATGTACAGTTTACAGTGGAACAGGAGCAAACACATGATTTCCTTCCTTGGTGGGATATGCAGAACTTGGGATGTGTGTATATATAAATATATAATATATATAAATATATATAATACTGACTTAAAAATCAAAATTCCCCGACATACATTTTTTTTAATCTGTGCCAAAAATGTGTTTTCAGAGAAAATCTTATTTTCATACTCAGACTTTGTATCGTCACTCATTTGTATAAGTGCACTTCATGACAGCACGGGCGTGTTCCCGCGATGTAGAAGTGTCACACAGCACCTGTACAAAGACTGGCCAGCCCCCTCCTGTGACCTAGACCTCTCCAAACTTCCTAACACTTATTAATTTATGAAACTGTTTTTCTCAGCGCAGTTTTGTTTTGTGTGTCCATTGGATTACAAACTTTATTAAAAAATATAAAACACCTCGAGTGTGACTGATTTCTGCTTGGTGGGAGGGCCAGCATGCATAGCACTCACCTCACCTTGGTTTTACCCACCCTCACTTAATCCTCCCCAAAAGATCATTTCATCTTACACAAAGGATCCTTTTGTTGGAGATAAACTTCTAACACTTTCTTTTTCTTTGTTTGTTTTTTTTTTTTTTTTTTGCGGAACCAGGGATTGAACTCAGCCCCTTGTGCTTGCCAGGCAAGCGCTTTTTCCACTTTTTCCCCGGCCCCTTTAACGTTTTCTAGTGTCCTGCTATATGCAGGTCAGCGTGAAACTTCCAAGGACCTGATTGACTCCGAGGTAACCCAGAAAGCACTTCTGCCTTCAGTACAGTAGGAGACGCCCCCTTGCGGAAGCCTTTCCCTGCCCAGGCACACAGCCCTGTGCCCCCGGGCTTCCTACCTGCTAGGGCTTGAGCTTGGCACCGAGTCCCGCCCCATCAGAAGTGTCTCACACGGTGTGTGCGCGCGCTTGCAGGGTCTCACTACACGACTCAGACTTGTAGTGATCCTACTGTTTTCTGCCCCCCCCCCCAGTCCAGGATTATGGTGTGTGCCACCACGCCTGGGCTCCATCACTGGTTGGGCGCACCCAGGGGCAGGGCCAGTGCGGCATTCAGTGCCAGGGATCAATCCCTTGGTCTCTGTTCTTGCCCCTTCTCTTCCCTGTATGATGCCAGTGGCTCTCAAAGTCGGGAGCCCGACATCCTGGTGCTCCTGGAGGTCGTTAGCCCTGTACCAGCTGCCTGACGGCAGAAGTGGGTGCCTAAGCTCCCCACACCTGCAGGGACATAAATTAGTTGGCATTTTCCCTTGCAGTATCAACAGGGCTCCTACAAATGTACATACACACATGATACAGCAGTATCACCTAGCAAGGAAGGGGTACAGCTGTGTGCAGAGAGCTGTTGGGAGCAAGGATGGACAGTCCTGCTGCAGAGCTCCCTCAGCCCACAAAAGTGCCCCAATACATCCTTGTGTCTGGAAGGTGGAGACTGGATCAGGGCAGGTAAGTATTCTCAGTGGAAGGCTCTGGCAGGGTTAGCTGAAGCCAGAGCAGAGCCTTCCTGCTTCATTCTCCAGGCCCAAAAGAACTCCCCAGTGGCCTGCTGGACCTGGCACAACCCTCTACCTACCTTGATCCTCTGGATGAAAGCGCCCTGGAGCCAGGCCCGAAGCAGCAAAAGGGGGCAAAGTCACTGGGGTCCTGGTCTGGGCTTAGTTTTGGAGGGAGCCCAGTGTTGTCTAGGGTGCCTGGCTCTCCGGGGGTAGTGTGGGCCTCTCCACTGACCTCCTTCCCCAGCTGTCTAGTCCCCTGGGCAGAGGAAGGCAAGATCACAGCAGTGCTCAGTGGGGAGGACATGCAGGCCTGGGCCCGTGGAGCTGCGGTCCCAGCTCAGATGCTGCCACTGCCCTACTCAGGATAGAAGCCTGGGCAAAGACATGTCTGCAGCAGGGACAGCAGGACTCTTCCAGGCTGGTTTTGAACTGTGGAGCTCTTCCGTCATAGCCGTATCTGCCAGCCCTCCCATTCCCCCAACAGGGACCTATAGGCAGCATTAGAAAATAATCAAATTTATTCTCTAGGGAATGGGGCCACCCTTCTCAGTTCTAGGGTGCCATCCACCACCCTTAAATAAAAAGTCAAAGAGGAGGGCCTCCAGTCACTCAGCAGGCGGTGGACACTCAGGAGCTGCAGGAGGACTCTCAGCCGAGGCAGGCTGGCCCTCAGCTCCATCCCGGGGGCGGAAGACCAGTTCTCCGGCCTGCAGCACCTGCCCAGCTGGCCAAGTGCTGCCTGGCCCATACTGCTGGTAGAAGTCCGCGTCCGTCTGAAACATGACCAGTGCCTGGGCTGTGTGGATCCGAACATGCTGTGCCAGACTGTTGGCATCCAGGAATTTGTCCCCACAGGAATCACAGGCATAGAGGATGTGGGTGTTGGGGTCTGTGGAGGTGGAGGCTGAAGTCAGGGTGGGAAGGGCCCTGGGTCCACCTGTGCCCACACCCTGGGTGGCCTATCTCACCTTCTTCCTGCACTTGCTTCACTGCTTTGCTGATCTCCGCTTTCAGCACTTCTGTCTCATCGGCTGTCACTGCTGCCCCCACTGGTACCACTGTGGGCAGAACCAGCAGGCCTGAGGTGAAGGTCACAGTAACCACCCCACTGATGCCAGCCTGAGGAAGGCTACCTACAGCTGCCCTCAGCTGCCCAGCACCCGCACCTGTGAGCTGAGTGACGGCTGTTGCTGCCAGTGCCTCGGTGGCTAGTGTGACCATGTCATCTACAGTGACCACGCTGACCTCACCGCCCTCCTCTGGCTCCAGGATTTTGATGCCCGCCTTGCCCTGGTGCACAGTCTTCACATGGGAGCGCAGGTTGTCCACGCGGTTGAAGCCGCGCCCACACTTGTCACACAGGTAGGGCTTCTCTCCTGGTGAGGAGGCAAGGTTCGCTCCTGCCTTGGGGGAGGGCAGCCGGGGTGGCGGTGGGAGGACCTCCAGGCCTCCACTTCCCCAGCAGCCCCATCTTTTCCAGCAGGAAGTTCTCTGGGGCAGCCACCAGAGCTGACCAAAGCCACCAGGGACACGTGTCACTCTGGAGCGCTAATGAAAGGGTCTGCATTTGGACTCAACTGCCTCCAAGGCTGCCTTCCTGCCCTCACCCAGGGAGGGGCTGTGGAGGATGCAGCTGGGCAGGTACTACTCACCAGTGTGGATGATGATGTGCTTGGACAGGTCCCCTACGTTCACGAAGGCCTTGCTACACACGCTGCACTTGTGGGGCCGGATGTTGTCGTGGTGGCGAATGTGATTGGCCAGCTGGCTGGACTGCACGAACCTAACAGCGCAAGGGAGGGGGTTGCATTTACCTGCCCTGGAGAGGGGGCCGGGGAGCAAGCACCACAAGGGGGACGGAGCACCTCTTGCCACAGCGCTCGCAGACGTAGGGCTTCTCGCCAGTGTGCTGGCGCACGTGGGCTATGAGGGAGCTGGCCTGCGTGAAGGCCTTGCCGCACATCACACATTGGCATGGCTTCTCACCTGGGGATGGGGGCAGCAGAGGTGTGAGCTCCTGCTCCTCCTGGGCTCCCCCCAGCCCTCAGGTGTTGAGGCCCGCTCACCCACCCGTGTGGATCCGGACATGCCGCTGCAGGGCACCGGGGTCAGCGAACTGCCGCTGGCAGTGGATGCACACATAGGGCTTCTCCCCACTGTGGATCCGCAGGTGCCGCTTGAGGTTACCTGTGGTGAGACCAAAGGATGCCTGGCATGGAGCCTGAGGGCCACAGGGGTGGGAGAGGGTGGGAAGCCTGGGTGGCCTGGGGCCTACCTGAGGTGGTGAACTGCTTCCCACACTCTCGGCATTTGAGGGGCCCATCTGCAATGTGGATCTTCAGGTGGGCTTTCAGGTTCCCCACCTGTGGCAGGCAGGGGGCAGAAGGGCTAACTCTCAGGTCTGGCAGGTTGCTGGGGATGGAGCCATCTCCCAAAAGCAGTGGAAGGTTCCAGGTCCCCATAGTGACAGGTAAAACACACCCACCTAATTCCTTGCGGGCCAAATGCCACCCTGACTCAGCCTGCCCTCCCTAGTTGCTAGGCAGGATGGTCGTGAGCACCACCTGGGGGAGTCAGGCTACAGACAGCAGGGCTCCTGAGGACAGGGCCGCGTCTGCTCTCCCTGCGCCCACTGGACTCCCATGCCTGGCTCTGGGCAGGCTGCACACCTGATTGAACTTCTTGTCACAGTGTGGGCATTTGTGCTCCTTGTTAGTGTCGTGCGTCTCCAGGTGGCGCATCTTGGACGTGGGGTCTGAGAAGGAGCGGCCACAGTAGTCACACTGGTAGGGCTTCTCACCGCTGTGCACCAGCTGGTGGCGCTTGAGGTTGCCCGAGGTGGTGAAGAGCTTGCCGCAGTCCTCGCAGCGGTAACGCGCCTCCCCCGAGTGCCGCTTCTTGTGCAGGTTCAGCAGGCTGATGAGCCGGTAGCTCTTGCCGCACTCTTCACAGCCATATGGCTTCAGCGGGCTGGTGGCAAGAAAGCAGTGGACAGGGAAGGGTGCTCCCTGGTCCCAGGAAGGTGCCTGCAAGATGAGGGAGGCTTGAGGGGCAGCTACCTGTGTGTCTTCTCGTGGGCCTTACAGGCAGCAGGGTCGGAGAAGGCCTTGCTGCACTCTCGGCATGAGAAGGGCTTCTCGCCAGTGTGGATGCGGATGTGGCGCTTGAAGTTGCCCGTGTGCGTGAACTCTTTCCCACAGTCCTGTGGCACAGCGGGACGGGGCGTGAGTGGGCTGTGGGGGCCGGTCAGGTGGGAGGGGAGGCACCACCTGCGCCCCGCACCTCGCACTTGTGGATGACGGAGCCATACGCCTTGGACTCAGTGCGGTCCCCATAAGTGCCAGAGCGCAGGCTCCGGGCCTCCACGCTGAGCTCCTGTCCCGAGTCCGTGCCCACAGACTCCTCGGTCTCCTCAGGGGCCTCTCCGTTCTCCAGCCGTGCTCCCTCCTCCTTGACCTCGGTGGGCTCTGAGTCTTCCTCCTCAGGCTCTTCTCCTTTGCTGGCTGGCTCTACCTTCATTTCTGCAAAGAGCCAGCAGCACTGAGGTGCCTGGGTGTGCACTGAAGCCACTCCGAGGTCAGGCCCAGTGGATCCACTTCACCTCACGCAGCCCTCCTCTACCTGAGTGCCTGGTACAGCTCCAGTGAGGTCTGGGAGTGACGGCCCAGTCCGCCCCCAGCACTGCCAGGGAAGGTACCTTGGGTCTGTGCCCTAGGGATTCACTACTTGGAGGATGCAGGTTTGGGCCTCAGTCAGCTGGAGATGGGCACTTTGGGTGCTGTGGGCAGCAAGACATAACCTGCACGGTGCCTAGAGCTTGGCAGAAGCGGAATCTCTGGGACTGTATCAAGATGCTTTAGGACTCAATTAGATGCTCCAGATTCAAGGAGAAAAACGCTGAAGTGAACAGCGACTCCAAGTGGGGTTGGCTGCAGGTAGCGAGGGGAGGTCAAGTGGCAGCACACACTGGGGCCCTGGGAGGAGGTACATCCTAGGATTGGGGTTACCTTGCTCTGAGCTTTCCGACATGGCAGCCTCAGCTTCTGCTGCAGCCATGCTGCTCGTTGGGTCTGGCTTGAGCTCCACAGGAAGGGGCTCCCGGGGGGCATCGGCCTTCTCTGTCTGCTCTGCACCTGAGGCAGGGTGGATATAGGAGGCTGGATTGGGACCCTCTGTCCAGAGGCTGATGGCTCTCCTAGACTAGGCCTCTGGTGGTGGTTGGAAGAGATGCCTCAGAACAGACCATGGGGCTGCTGTCTATGAGTGTGGGCACTTGGGCCACGCACCTCCCTGTTGCTAGCCCCGCACAGGTGGCCCTGGGGCCCAGGCTGCTGGCAGGCACTGGGATGGGCCTCTCACTTACAGCTGCCCACCTCCTCCACCAGGCAGCCAATGTATTCAAAGATCACAACTCACCACTAGCTGTGCTCTCGGCCTGGCCACCCCGCTCCTCTTTAGGCTCTCCCGCTGGGCCTGGGGGTACACTGCTTCCAACTTGGTCCAGCCTGCTCAGTGTGGTGGCAGCAGCCTTTTCTTTGGTTCTCCTGTCACCTCCTGAAGGTGGAACAGGTGAGAGCTGCCATTTCCCATCAACTGCCTACCATCTGACTGTGGAGAGGGGGCCTAGAACCTTCTGGGTCCCCGCTGCAGATAGGTATGGTCATTGGTTTGTTTGCCGGACACATGAGCCCCAACTCCATGTCTGGCTGCCACTGGGAATGCAGCAGTGGCATTTCCTGCTTGAGTGGGGCATGCAGACTGGTGAGGAAGGCCTTGCATGTGCCAACACACTCAAGAGTCAGTGCTTAGAAGGAAAGAAACTCAGTCCTTTGAAAGTATACAATTAAGAGACTGCCACACAGGGTGTCTGCGGGCTTCAGAGGACATCAGGAGAGAGGAAGGATGCTTTGGAGAAGACAGCTGTGGCAGGGGTAGAAGCAAGCCCTGCCCACACACACACACAAGCAGTGATGTGGGCGCAGCCCCCCAGCCTATGCTGTGGAAAGGTAGGACAGGAGCAGGCACCAGGACCTTTCTCACATGTAACCTCAGCCAGTCTCTACCAGCACCTCCAGGAGGGGGAGGCAACAGAGGCAGCCCGAAAAGTCAGAGGCAGGGCCCTCCTCAGAAGTCTGGAACCACCTGCTCAGAAACAGCTTACAATACGCTTACCTTCTGCAGCTGGGACCTCCATATTCTCCCCAGGGCTGGTGACTGGCTCATCAAGTGACTTGAGGGCGTTGCAGGCCGTGATGATGTCCTGCATCTGGAGGAAGCTGGCCACAGCCAGCACATCATCCACATTCTCAGGGCTCAGGCTCAGCTTCGCTGTGTACATGAACTCCAGCACTTGCCCCAAGCCTGCCAAGGACAGGGCAACCATCACAGTCCCACCCGAGGGCCAGGACCAGCAGCCTGCTCAGCCCCTTTCTCAGCAGCAGGGCTGGGCCGCAGCCAGCTGCTAAAAAGGAGGATGTCCACACAGAACGGAAGGTGTGAATGCCATCCTGCAAGAAGGGAAGGCGTGAGCATGTCTGCATGCACACCCTTGACCTGGCTGCTGTGCTGCATCCCTGGAGGACACTTCAAACTGCAAGTCCAGCACTTCCTCTGCGCTTTGTCACCAACTCCCTACCTGACTGCCAGGCCAGCCACCTGACCTTGGTGGGTCGCAGTCTCCATGCCTATAAAACGGGAGATCATTCCCTTGTACTGACTTCTCACGTGTCACATCATTCCGGGTCAGGAACCCAAATCAGGACCGGCATACCCTGAGTCCTAACTGAACGGCCTAACTCCAGCCGTTTCCTCACCATCGCCCTCACTGTCCCCACACTCTTGCTCAGCATTGAAGCAGTGTCTCCAGGGACCTGACCCACTCTGTCCATACTGACAAGGCTTGTCCTGTATTCACCATAGCCTGAAGCTTACCAGAGCCTTTCCATCCAGTGCTTCCAGTCAAAAGAGGCCCCCAAAAGGTGGCAGGAACTTTAGTACATGCTCAGGACTTGAGACTTGCATAGGAGGCCGGGGGCACCCTGCAGCCTGCAGGTGCCACCCTGGGGATCTGCATGGCTAGGGGCCACCCAGAGCTTCTGGCCTCAGCAAGCTTGCCCTGGCCCCAGGGGGTACCTGCCGCCGCGTTACTGATGTCCAGATGCACCACATCCTTCTGGTCCACGAAGAGCATCTTGAAGTACTCACTGCAGGCCGCCAGCACTGCCTTATGGGCCTTAAAGTCGACACCATCCACCACAAAGGTGCAGTCACACAGAAGTCCCAGCTGCCGCTGCTGGTTCAGCTGCTCCAGGACATGCTGGCTGTGCTGGGGGAAGTCCATGGCTGCAGAAAGCCAAAGGGCCTCTGTCGGCACGGAGAAGGCATGCCAGTCTGCCTCACCTGTCAGCCCCAAACTCCCAGAGGAAATGCGAAGCAAAGACAGGGAGAATTAAAACATGGAGAAGCATTTCAACTCCCGAAGAGCAGATAACTCCAGACACCTGGTACAAGTCACGATGGACCAGCAGCTTCTAGATTCCCAGGTATGCTATCAGGGAAGCCATGAACCAAGAGGCAGCAAAGAACCAATACAGCCATCTCTTGCCAGATGATGACAATAACAAGTCGAAAAAGCAAACAAACAAAAAAAGCAAACAAACACAAAACACTGATTGCTGTCATCGTTTCAACAAAGGAAGGCCATGGTCTGCCCAACAATGTTTACCACCCATCACATAATCTAGGGGTGAAGAACAGATGTCCAACTGGGCACAGCTAGCCCTAAGATGACCTATTTTGTTCATGTTTTTTTCTTGTTCTGTCATGGACTGATGAAAGGTTCGTCCAGGGAGATGACAAGGTGGCTCTTTCATCACTGGGTGTTTCCGAACCTGGCTGCTCGCCCACTGCAACCACGGGCCCTGAGCAAGTTCTCTGTGCTCACAGTTAGGTCCTCCAGAACGGGGAGCCCTCTCTTGACCACAGGCATAGGTAATAACATGAAGTTAGGAATCCCCCACTTTCGGAAACCTCTGTCCTGGTAGCTTTTTCTGGAGAAACAAGAAACTCCAATTCTGACCCCACGATCTGCCGGCCTAACCAGTTTCCATGTCAGGGGCCTTATTGAACACCTGAAAATCCCACAAGCATCTTGAGTGGGAATGTGCTCAGAATGCTCCCGCCAGCACGGTGCTGCTTCAGAGTCCGAGGACCAGAGACGTCCTAGGGAAAACAAGCAGGCTTTATTTTCTAAAAATAACCAGTTTTAAAATGTTTCAACAGAAAAACCAGCAGCCCTGTCTGAGGCCGCACTGCACAGATCAGCACAGCGGGTGGCCCAGTAAGTGGTTTTCTGCCAGCTGCTCCAGAAATGAGTTTGGACTTCTCTCTCCTCTGAGGCCAGAGGGGCCCTCGCTGTCTCTGGAAGGTGAAAGCGATGCCATGGGGGCTCTCTGCCCCAGTCTGCAGTCGCTCTGGCTGCTCCATTACATCAGCCTCCAAAGCTGAGTCACTGGAGTTGCAGCTGGGAGCTGCCATGACCATGTATGGCTGCTGTCAGCGATGAGCTGGAGGAAAGCCACGCCCCACGTGCCAGCACAGGTCCACCCACCCCATGGTAGCTACAAACTTCAAAATTAAGGGCATGGTGTTACGGGCCTGTAATCCCAACACCTTGTGAGGCTGAAGCAGGAGAATCACAAGTTAGAACCCAGCTTGGGCAGTTTAGCAAGATCCTGCCTAAAAATAAGTTTAAAAGGGCTTAGGATACAACTCAATGCAAAAGCCTTGGTTCAGTCCCCAGTACTGAGGGTATGGAGCTGGGGGAAGTCACTTGGCAAGCTCCACAAATAAACGCATTAGCCCGCCCCATGTGCCAGCCCTCATCTATTCCACAGCAAACCAGCTGTAGCCACCTGAGGCAAAGGCCACTGCAGATCCAGCACCCCCACAGAAGTGCCTTTCTCTAAGGTTTCCAATCCTGGAAGGAGCAAGCCTTTACTGGTACTGTGAAGGAATGCAAGGAAGAATCTTGGCTCTACTCTTTCTGCCCCTCAGATATGCAAAAGAACTTGGGTCCAGTCCTTGGGGTTCAAGTGCCCTTGCTGGGTCCTTGAGCCTGGGTTCCCTCTCAGTAGGGCATGAGAAGCCAAAAGCAGGAGGCCACAGTCAAACTAACTGCCTGACCTCTGTCTTCTCTGTGGTGGCAAAGGCATGAAGAGACAGAGTACAAGTGAGCACAGACAAGCCCGAGCCCCATCATTCTCTTCATGCTAGGGAGCCTAAAGTGAGCCATCTCCCAAGTGCAGAGAGGGGACACAAGGGTCACACAGGACAAAACCCTGTTTCAGAACTTGCAAGTGAGGTCCAGACCAGCCCTCTTGGTGGGTGGGCCCTGAAAGCTGAGCTGGAAGGGACTATCTCCCAGGCTCCCCCAAGGGGCAGCGGCTGAGCCCCACTAGTGGGAGTCTGCCTTCTCCTTGCCAGGAAAGCCTTGAGCAATGAGCAGGAGCCTACAGCTTAGGTGGACCTGAGGCTGCAACAGGCTTTGAATGGCTACCTGGAGTTCCCAGGGAAAGCACAGCAAAAGCCCACCAACTGCCTTCCTGGAGCTCAAACGCTGGCAAGGGATATGGACACCACTATTTTGAGAAGCCTTGGAGGTCAGATGATCACAGGACAGAGTAGATGGTGGCATGGTTTCTCCTATCCTCCCCCTACACACACAGCAGAGAAGCTGGATGACCCATGCATCACTGTGCACTGGCATCAGAGGTGGCTTGTCCCCAGATGCAGGGCTCAGAAGAAAACCAGAAGCCTCTAATTCCTCCAAGGATGTTTCAAGAACAGCTCCCTTCCCCAAAGCATCTGTCCTAGGAAAATCAGAGAAAGAAAAGGGAAACCAGCTGTGGTGGCTCACATCTGTAATCTCAGCACTCTGGAAGTCTGGGACAGGAGGATCTCAAGTTGCCAACCTGGGAAACTCAGTGACTTAATAAGACCTTGTCTCAAAATAAAAATTAATAAAGGTCTGGAGATGTAGCGAAGTGCAAAGGCCCTGCATTCAATCCCCAGGACACAAAGAGAAGAGAAACAGAAATGAAAAGAAGGAAAGGAAGGAGGGAAAAACAGGCGAGAGGTAAAGAGAAAGGAGAAAAGCAGAAAGGATGAGGATAGTAAGGTAAGGAGAGGAGGGGAGGAGAGTGGGACAGAAGGAAAAATAGCCTGTTCCAAGTGACAGACAAGAAGCAGCTCGAGCAGCAGCTCCACACACATCTGTGAGCAGTCCGGGAGCTGTGCCAGCAGTGCTCAGGTGTCACTCACAGAAGAGCATGTCAAGCACCTCCCGCTAGGGAGCACCCCCACAGGCGGCACGCTCGGTGAGTGTGGCACAACCCCAGATGCTCCAGAAGGCCCCCAGAGGCTGCCTCCTGCCCGCACAGCCACAATTGGAAGGGCAGAAAAGAGACAGAGTGTGAGGAAGAAGCGCTGCACCAACCTCAGAGATGAGGCTCTGAATGAGAACAGCAGACAGCTGCTTCCTGTCTGGCCAGGTCTGGTAGACAGCCAGACCTTTCCCACCAGCAGCTGCTGCAAGACCAGCCCTTACTCAAACTCAAGTATAAGTGTGGGCCCTTGTTTTTTTCCCTGTCCTCAGTGAGGATGATCCCGGGTGCTAATGAGAGCTAGCTCCCTCAAAATGGGACCATGGCAAGTGCAGGCACAGCCCGCCATGCGGAGTCCTGATTTTATTTTATTTTTTTTTTTTGTGGTAGGCTCAGCCCACCCCGGGGGTGGGGCTGGCGCGACATGTGGTGCTGGGGATCGAATCACAGTCCCTGCACACTTGCCTAAGCAGGTGCTTTAGACCGCTAAGCACAGGTCCGAGTCCTGGTTTTCAGACTCAGGAGGTGAGCTCCCACAGGGCACCTTGCGCGCCCAAGGCCTCTGTCACCCATGGTTGCGACTGTGGTCAGGCACCTTTCCATGGCACTGCCAGCAGCTCGCTTTCCAGCCTGTGATTCATGCTCTTCTAAGACCAACAGCCTGGAGCCTCACAGGGAGTTCTCTGGAGATGAAGGGTGGCCCTTGAGTAACACTACGATGAGACTCCGGATGGGCATAACAGAAGTCCCTCCCTCCCTCCCTGCCCGGTGGTCTCCACAGCTCCAAGGAATGGCCCAGTGACAACTCCGTGAGGAGAGTGCTCTCCTGTGCTCCCAGCCCAGCTGTTCATGGAGTGCTGTCACACAAATGACTGCAGCCAGCACCTTGAGAGCAAAGCAACTGCCCAGACAACTTCCAAAACTGAGCAATAGAAACTGTGTGGCCAAACCACTAATAGTGTTTGGGAGGTGTGCTGTACAGCAAGGGACAGCTGAAACAGAGGTGAATGACAAGAGGGAAGACAGTCCCGCTGGATGGGTGAGAGCAAAGGGCCCTTCTATCCACTGGGTGTGTCCTCCTTCCTCATTCGGACACCTAGATTAGTCCACATTTGTAGGACAATACCTCAAAATTCAATACAGTTTTTAGTACAAAAAAAAAAAAAAGCAAGTTACAGAGCTACACTTGATCAAGTCATGGCACAGGGACCAGGCAAAGACTGGCTACTCTCATCAGGGCTGTCCTGAGGTCCTAGGCCAGTGGGCAACTGGATAATGAGGTCAGTGGAACTAGAAGAGCCATACTCATACATGTGGTGGGACCAGGACAGCTGGCAGATCTATCTAACTGTCCTCCAGGCCCAGCAGATCCGAGGAGGGAGTACGAGGAAGCTTTCTCAAGTATAAAACCCCACTGCTCAATTCAACAGGTCTGTTGTGATTCACTCAAGAGGCTGACACAGGAGAATGGAGAGTTTCAGGCCCATCAGGGCTACACAGTGAGCTCAAGGTCAAGCATGGACTACACAGCAAGATCCTGTCTTAACAGTGACAACAAAAACCAGGTTCCCGGCCGGCGGTATAGCTCAGCAGACTAAGTGCTTGCTTAGGTAAGCACAGGGGCCAGGGTTCGATCCCTGGCTCTGCATGCCATGCTGCCCCCTCCGGGTGCCCTGAGCTGGTGACGGAGTCCGGGTGTGGTGGCACGCGCCTGTAATCCCAGCACTAGGGAGGCAGAAATCAGGAGGATCACTACAAGTCTGGGCTGTGTAGTGAGACCCTGCACATGTGCGCGCGCGCACACACACACACACACACACACACACCAGGTTCCTCCTATCACAGTGCACTTAACAGTCTCTGCAGACCTTGTCTTAAATAAACAAAGTTGAAGACACTCTCAGATGGTATCTCTGTGCCTTTTACACTGGGTACCTCAGGTGCACTGTTTTGTGACTT